ACACATTTTCATTTTCCTAAAATGGGGGCCAAACAAGGGCTAAAATCAAGATTTTAGTAAATTTTGATAAAAATTGATGAAAGATGTGATTAAAAATTGTGAATTTCATAAAATGAGTTGTTAAAATTAATTGTTGACTTCTTTTTCCCCATAAATTCCTTTTTTTTTTTTTTAAATTTATGTATTCACCAATTTTCATTTTCTCAACGTATGATTTAAACACCTAAAATTCATATATTTCCTCCATGGCTTTTGGCCTTCACTTTCTCCTCTCTCTGTCTTCGGTGACTATAATGGAACCCAAACAAACACTATTCCTCTTTACGTGTACCAAAAGGGACCTAAATACGACAGAAACAATGAAGCTGTATCAAAGTGAGACACGTGGCTACGTTTGGCAACTGAGTTAGAATTGCCCTACAATCTATTGTTTTGTGGCAGTTTGGTAATTTAATACGATGTAAAGGTCCTTGTCAAGCAGCTGACTACAGGTTGAATTGTAGAAGTTGCTTCCTATTTCTCGTCAGTTTTTTCTATACTCTCTCTTCTAATTTTCCATTTTTCTCTCACCAATTTTTGGCCTAATAATTGAAAATTCCAGAGAATTTTTAGAGATTTAGGCGAGATGAAGAGGTGCGTATTGTGTAAAGGAATGGCTAGGATGTACTGTGAGTCGGACCAGGCGAGCTTGTGCTGGGACTGCGATGCGAAGGTGCACTCGGCGAACTTCCTGGTGGCTAGGCACTCGAGAAATCTGCTTTGTCACGTATGTCAGTCGCCGATGCCGTGGTCCGCCTCTGGTGCGAAATTGGCTCCCACCGTTTCTGTGTGTGATAAGTGTGTCACGACGGAAGAGGAAGAAGAAGAAGAGGATGACGAAAGCAATGTGGAAAACGAAGACGAAACTGAGGATGAGGACTTAGAGGAGGAGGAGAATCAGGTAGTTCCATGGTCATCGGCTTCACCGCCGCCGGTGAGTTCTTCAAGTAGCGAAGGTTCGATAATCGGCGAAAGAGAGGTTCGAACGAAGCGAATGCGTGACGAAATTTCAAATGTATGAAAAATAATTTCATTTTTTTGCTTCGTTTATTTCATCATGATTTTTTGAGATCGAAATGGTGAAATTTTTGTGTCAAAATGACAGGATGATCAGGGCTGCTCGTCGTCTCAACCGCATGTGCATACGGCGCCGTTCGCCACCGCCGTGATGATAACGAAAGAAGTTGAACCTTTGCCGGCGCCAACAAAGATCCGGAAAACCGTTGTTGATCGAACGGATCGGGTAGGGTTTTCTGAATCTCATATTTTGGAAACCTTAAGGAGATTTCACCGGGAAGAGATGGTATCGGGTGCAGGTGCAACAGAGTTCTGCCGCGGCACCAGGGCTGTTGACTACGACTCCTGCGACTCTTATTAACCG